CCCTAGAGGGTTCTAGCCTAAAGGCGAATCAAACAAAATAAAAATAAACAAAAAGAAAAACTAAACCCAAGAGGGTTCTAGCCTCAAGGTGAATAGTATAAGAAATTAAAATCTAACTACAAAATAAAGTGCAAAATCTAAACTACAAAATAAAATTGCAAGAATTAAATGCAAGAAAATAAATCTACTCTATAAGCATGAAATAAATCTAAGGCAAGAGGGTTCTAGCCTCTTGGCTATTTAACAAGAAAATAAAATCTAAACTACAAGCATAGAAATAAATCTACAACTAATAAGCAATAAAAGAGAAAAAGAAAAAAATGCAAACCTTCAAATAATTCTCCATCTTCATCTTCATCTTCATCATCCAATAAAGAGAAGAAGAGAAAAATTTAAAGTGGTGAAAAAATTATTATTATTAATTGCAAAAAAAATTATAATTTTGAAAGGCCTTCTCAATTAAGAGTAGCCCTCCTCTCCAAAAGGAGTTTATAAAATTTTCACACCTCTAACCCCTCACTCTCTACCCCTATTTATAGTAATCTACAATGAATATGAACCATTGGATTTGTTTTGAGCCCCAAGCAATAATCTCCACCTTTGAATTTGCTTTTTGTTCTTCTCTAATCCAACATAAGAGGCCCATATGATTTTCAAAAGAAAAATGAAAATCAAAGCTCATTTGATATTTGAAACAAAGCTCATTCTTTTGATTTTCTTTGGCCCATTTGCATTTGATTTTTGGAATTAAATGAAGAGCTGCAGCAGTACCATAGGTCCGGTCCCCAACCACATTTTGTTTTCGGAATTGAATGCAGCAACCCAAGCACACAAGTCCAATGAAAACCGGCCCATTCATAATCCTCTTGTGAAAAAAAATCGAACTGCAGCAATTTCATTCCCATGGAGATTCTACAATAACAAGTCCGACCCATGAAATGATTCAACTCCACATCTCCAGCAGCTGTCTCCTATAGACTTCATTTGATTTCCAAATTGCAAGCAAGTATCAGCCCACACTTGACTTTCGGCCCAAATTTCTTGTTATTCAAAGCTGAAGCGAGTTTGGCCCAATTGCAATTGATTAAATCAAGTCTGGACCACACAATTAAACTCCAACTTTGCAGTCGGTCATGGTGTTGTAATTTTTGCATCCAAGTCCATTCATTCTAATTCTTTGCATCCAAGTCCATTCCACTCTTTGCTGTAATCATTTTTTTGTTTTGATGGGCTTGGGCTTCAATCATTTTTCTCTTTTAAGCTTTTGCTTCATGAGCTTCTAAAATGCTACAAAAATAGAGAAGAGAGATTTTGAGGGGGTTTTTACATTTAATAATATTTATTTATATTTCTATTTAATTATGTGGAAACTAAGCTAACAACAATTATTAATGGTATATTTATTCATGTAAAATAGATAATGAGGATATAAAATTGTAATAAAAATATGATTATCAGTTAGGTAAAAGAGCCAAGCAAAAAACTTAGATATCTCTGCAGTGAAGATTGTACCCTGAAATTCATGGACATACTCATTACTGATACGACCTTAAAGCTGTACGAAGGTATGATGAATTCATCATTCTTGAGCACCGTCACTTATCATCAAAAGCTGTTTAGTTCTTTTCTAATATTATGAAGGAAAACCAACTAATAAAGTTTCACTATTATTTTTCATGTCCTACTTTGTTGGATAAATTAAGTGGAGTCACCCTATAATCAGGGCTCAATATCAATAAACAATCCCCTAAGAGAGGGGGGCAGCATACTTAAACATCTCCCTATCCAATGTGGGACTAAAGATCAGTTGTATTTGTAATACACCAACATAATCAAAGTTATGTTTAATGCTTTTAATAATGCATAAACAATGCAGATCCTTCCGGCCTATGTTACTCCGACACGGCAAACTAAGTCCCGTACCCGTGTCGGGTACGTTTTGGGTGCGGATCCGCACCCAAACGGCAGGGACACGGTGATTTCACAAGAGCGAGGGAAAAAAAGTTGCGAACTTAAAAAAAAAAGTTACGAACCTTATAACTCATCAACGGAAGCGACGACAGATTCTAGATCTCAAGGCGTCGGGTCAATTGCAGCTCCTCGACGACGACTCAGCGCCTCGACGACGAGATCAGCGCCTCAGCTCGAAGACAGGTTTGATTTTTAGGGTTTTGTTTTTGTTGTTTCTCCTTTTTCTCCTTTTTCCTCGACGACAAGATCAACGCCTCTTCTTTTTCTCCTTTTTCCTCGACGAAGAAAGTTGGGGCTGGTTCCAGGCGCCATCTTCCAGCCATCATGCGTTTTTTCTCGAGAGAGGACGAAGAGGAGAGAAAGGGCGGCGGAAGAATTAGGGCTGGGAGAGAACGGATGGGAGAGAACGAAGAGGAGAGAGAGGGCGGCAGAAGAATTAGGGCTGGGAGAACTTGGTCTTCTTTTTTTTCCTTTATATACTATGTGGTAATATTTCCATAAACCCCTCATCAATTCTTTTTTTGCAGCAAGCCCCTTAACAAATACAAATATGTTATTATAGTTACTATTTTCTTTTGTTGCATAAATGTCCTCTTGCAAACTCATCTACAAATTAATATAGTTAATTCAATTGTTAGGATATCTATTTAAATAGTTACTAATTACTATAGTTTCTTATTTATAATCTCCACTTTATATAACAAAAAATATAAAAAAATAATAGGTATTTAATTCAATATTGATCTAAATTGAACTATTTTATATATATATAGCCGTGTCCCCGTACCCTACTTTTTACAAATTTGCTGTGTCCCGTACCAGTACCCGTACCCGTACCCGCACCCGTACCCGTACCCGTACCTAGGCAACATAGCTTCCGACAATTTTACAGTATCATTAGCATCAACATCATCCAAACTTTTCAAACCAAGATGGTGCCTACTATGGAGCATCCAAAGTCAAGCCAGCTCCACCGAAGTATTGACCAGTCTAATTGACATTGTCAACCTGATGCTAACCTTCCACTAATTGGTGCAAGTTTTCAGCACTACATCAATAACAAAAGATGGCCCTGAACCATAGAACCTTATATAGACCAGTGGTTGTTGACTTCGGATTTCTGTTTGTGCAGTTCATGCTTTAGAGCAAGCCTCCGTAATTTCCCTACCCAAAGAAACTTGATGACAAGAAGTAGTATGTGATAGATGCTACAACATTCACATAATTTGCTACCCAAACCTAAAAGAGTTAACAACACCCCCAAAAAACTGTCAGGTGAGTTCTAGCCTGTAACAGAGTATCGCTAAGATATATTTGCATATCATGAACTCCAAATTAACATATATAGAGAAAGAAAATTAGTACGGGCACTGTACTCATGTAATAAGCATACTGCCAGAAATACAAGTAGAAGTTGTTGACGGCTGCAAAAACTGTTTCTAAAGAAAGCAATTCATTGCTAACAAAGGATAGGAAAGAGGAAAAAATTCTTTTGAGTGAGATTGATGCTCTTTAGAAAATAGAACATACAAGTAAAGAATTCCTACAGGTTAAATCAGGATTGTCCTCAAGGGAGCCATTAACATCGATTGAATAACAGAAATCCTTTCTTCTCAACAAAAGAGTGTAAGTGTAACTGTGTAAGATATTGATAAATTGTTAAGTTGAACAGTTTTAAGTTGAATTTACTGTTAGTGTGATCATCGTATATATATGCCTTAAGAAAAAATAAGGTAGGTAAGATTTTTAAGCATACAAGATGTGAGCCCTGGGAGTTGACAAGTAGGGAGAGACTGCACATAAATTACCTTTTCCAGACCCGAAATGTCAGGAGCCCTCACGCAGTAGGATATCCTTTTCTATGTTCTTAAGCATTGTTTCTATATCAACCACAAACTAGCATCTATTTTTAAAATGAGAAGTAATATCATCAACGGAAACTCTCTAACTTGAGCACAGATAAAGACCGCAACTTGTGTAATAGCAGACTGTCTAGGTTTCGCTTTAAACATGCTAGGACATTCTCAAGTATAATTTCAAACATATTAATTCAGCCAAGACATACATCGATATAATAGAAATAAAGACATCAAAAGCTTCTATAATAAGTAGATACATATATTGGAACCATTTACAGATGATGATGAACGGATTCTACAAAAGACACTTTAAGCAATCCATCAAAGAAGTTAAAAACTATTTTCGGTGCCATCTCTCATATTTCCATAGGAGAGCTTACTTGCAGGGATAAACCTACACTCCTCCATCCCATCATCCCATCTCTCATTTACTTTTCAGCCTACTTATAGAAAAATGGTGTACCACCTACTATTTAAACAAGGGCATTACCTCTATACCCTCTGATAAGTCAAGTATAAGTTAATCCATTGAGGTGACTTCCAAATTCATAATTGCTGATAATTATGAGGCATAGAATAATGGAAACATGGACATGTAAAATCTGTGCTGTCTGAATTACATAACAGTTTAAAGAAACAAAGAAAGTTCAAATAATAAAGACATGTAGAATACTAATAAATGTCTGAATCACAAAAAAAATGTTTCCATTATAACAACCTTAGTTATCGGCTTTAGACGCAGGGAAAAGATACTCTAGCATGATAACAGGCTGCCGAGTTATGTTCACATAATTGGAAATAGGAGTTTTTCGTCCAAACATTCATTCATGAATATACTGCTCTCAGTATAAGCAATAAAATGATAACTATAATGCTGACACAATGAGGTTGTGATGCAACAAGAACATAAAAGTGACAAGAATGTAAATATAACCGCTACAAAATTACCTCAGAAAGATTTTGATTGAGTGCTTAAGTTGATCAAGTAAGGTTTCTGATCATCCAAAGGATAGATATGCTGGTCCTTTTTGCCATGAACTTCGTACATTGGAAATCACTANGCTGCGAAAACTCTGAAGAAAAGTGGTTAACTGAGAACAATTATATAATAAATACGTGCATCTAATCTTTCTCAAAAGCAATGAACATCTAAACAACATACAACTCATAAATGATATGTAAAAGTATCTGATATTAATGGTGAAGTTGCTTTAATCCATTGAGGGAAACAAGGACTCAAGACTCCTCGATACATAGTGCCGTTTATTCAGTAGCGACAGGCAAAATGGATGAGCGAACAACTTTTTATATCTGTTTGTACTTATTGCTATAAAGAGAATAAAAGTACGAAGAACAGAAAAAACTATGTATCTCTACTTCTTAATCCTCCTCACTTTCTTTGCTCCCCAGACCTCCATTCTCCCTGCCGGGCATCCACAAGGAGCCCTAAAGATCAAAACAGTTCGCCCATTCAAAGGTGCCATCTTCTTGAGCTCAGCCTCGAGTTCCTTATGATCATCTCCTAGTTCCAATGGACGACTCCCAAATGCTTCCTTTGACACCGGTGGCAAATACTTCAAACATTCCTCAGATTCCAACTGAATATCAAACTCAACTGCTTTTTTAAGCCCTTTACAGTAAGGATTCCCACATTTCCTAAACTGGTGATTAACCACTTCCCACATCGCAATTACAGTGATAAGCATTAGAATCAGTCCAACAAAATAGGCAATCGGAGCATGGTAGATAACTTCTGCCATGATTTCCATTGCTACCGGAAACAGCTCTGAAACTTCATCGAAGATGAACTTGAAGTAAGGGAGCACGAGGACTGTGAGAGCTCCGAGGACTAGAAGGAGCAAAATTATGTCAATGGCTGCAAAAGCGGAGTGCTCACAAAAAGGGTGAGAAAGTGGGTTCAGTGATTTCGATTTCTTCAAGCTCCGGTGGTTGTCCAGTGATGATTGGGGTTTTGGCTTATTTCGGTGCTGCTCAAAAGCTCGGCAGAATTCAATTAAGCTACGGCAGTCGACCATTGTTGAATCCAGCTTGTCGAATCTGCACAAAATTTTATCTTTGCCTGTAAAAATGTAAAAAATATTGCATATAAATCAAAATACCAAATAGTCTCTGCAGATTCAAGAATTGACGATCCAAATAAAACCCAATTTATCCATCCCCAGAAACTGATAATTCTAAATAAGTTACTAAGAATTAATTAAATCTGCACAAAAACTACTGTTTTATTGTATAAATATCAAATTACAAATTAATCAACTATCAGAGCACTCTCTAACTAACAGTCAAGTACTAAACATCTAAATCAGAGGATTTGAGAACAAAAGTAAAGACTCAGATCATTTTGATACAAGCCCAACTCCAATCGAAAACAATCTTTCTATCCCCAACAACAAGCGAAATTCCAAAAAATTCTGAATAAGTTACTAAAATAAAATAAATTGAATAAAACAGTACGTGCGAATGCATCAGCTCAAATTGAGAAACCAATCTAAATAGAATCAATCAGCTGCCTGAATTCAGGGATCAGAACAACACCTTGACAAACCCAGAAGAGACCCAAATCCAGATCGTATGAAACTCCAATCCTCGATCGGGATCACGAGACTGTATAAGGAAACTGCCGTTGCAGGGGAATTCAGATCGGAACGAATCTATCCAAATTCCAAATTTAGTAAAGGGCACTTGAGCCTGATGAATCGATTGGATGGCGATTGGACGTTGGGAATTGATCGGAGATTTAGAAGATTTGGGGATCGCCGACGGAATCTGAAGCTGCTGCCCTTCGGGTTCTGAATCCTGATTCAAGATTTTAGAGAGAGAGAGTTTTTTATATATTTTGTTTCTGATACCTTGCTTTTGCTTCTTTTTTTTTCCTCCTGACTTTTTCCTTTATTTATTTATTTATCTGAGGAGTGCCGGCGGATGGCAGGGGAGAATGGTTTTATATATGGAGAAAAATAGAAAGATTTTACAATCAAGTCCTTACCTCGTTGCTCACTTGCTATTTCTTCCTGCCGCAAAAACTAATTTTATTGCTTGGAGGATTATAAAGTCTCTCTCTATCTAATCTAATTTAATCTATCTAATCTAATATATATCTAATATCTAATACTATTATAAAAGTATGTTGGTATGTTAAAACATTTCTTTCAAAAATGTCCTCCAAACTACATATATGCATCCATAAAACACATACTTGCATACATATAAACACATACATATACATGCATACATTCTTAATAATGACATAACTCTCCTATTAATTGTCTACTAATATTAACTTCTTTTTTTATAACCCCTCCACTAATCCAATATGCATCCATAAAACACATACTTGCATACATATAAACACATACATATACATGCATACATTCTTAATAATGACATAACTCTCCTAATACATATAAACACATACATATACATGCATACATTCTTAATAATGACATAACTCTCCTATTAATTATCCATTAATATTAACTTCTATTTTTTATAACCCCTTCAGAATAGATAACGACAACAGGGGTGTGAAGACGATTGAAGTTGTGCTGATAAAGTACTGAACTTTAATCGGATTATACTTTATACTGATGTGATTGTTAGACTGACGGTATATGTGGATTAAGGATACGAATGATACAAGGAAATGTGGAGAATTCGAATTGAGGCTAAAGTTTAAGGTCTAATTTGGGGGGTTTAATAAACTTTTAATTCTATTTCTATAATTATTACTATGTACTTAATTGTGATTTGAGAGAAATATTGTATTATCCATGAACTTAGTAGATATATTTTTTGTAGCATGTTACTAATTATATGATAAGTAGATATATTTTTTGTAGCATGTTACTAATTATATGATAATAGAAGAGAGAGAATGTGAAAGTGAGAACTTTATTTTGTTATAATGGATTAGCAAGAATAAAGATAATTAATATAAACAAGTATAACATGACACACTTAACATAAAAGTAAAGAACAAACTTAGAATTTTTATCTTTTGGGTAAAGTTTTTTATATAATAAGTATATTCTAACCTCCCTAATGTTAAAACTATATTCTAAATTTGCACATAAAACTACTAGTAGTTATTAAATATCATTCATTATCTTAAATTATAAAGTAAATAGAACTATGTCTTTTAAGATTAAAAAAATTTGTATCTTTTGGGTATTCCATGATTTGTCATTGTTCACAAAATAACCCTGAATTTTTTCACAAACAGCCATAGATCTTCATAATTTTCACAAAGACCATTAAATTTTCATATATTTATAGAAAAATACTGAAACTTCATAATTTTTTATAGAAAAACCCCTATATAGTTCAAAACTTAAATCTTAAGAAGATTGAAAGAAGTATATGATCTAAATTGTAAGAAAATTACAAATAAGTCCTCAAATGTTGTTATAATTACATTCAAAATAAAACTTTTCCATTAATTAAATTAATTAAATAATGAATTGTGTAAAGTATTAGAACATAAAACAAATATGTCCACGTGCAACGCATGTGCACTATACTAGTACAATTATAAAAATGTGTTAGTATGTTAAAACATTTCTTCCAAAAATGCCCTCCAAACTACATATATGCATCCATAAAACACATACTTGCATACATATAAACACATACATATACATGCATACATTCTTTATAATGGCATAACTCTCCTATTAATTGTCTACTAATATTAACTTCTTTTTTTATAACCCCTCCACTAATCCAATATTAATGTTATCATAAAAAATTTGCATAAATATAAACACATACATATACATGCATACATTCTTAATAATAACATAACTCTCCTATTAATTGTCCACTAAAATGAGAGTTACATTTTCAATTGTAGTTTTTATTTAAGTGTTAATTACATTTGACTGTTACAGAATACAAAGAGTCTTCTTTTATTTATTTATCATAATAGCCCTTACTTGCAACCTATATAAATTCACTCATTTGACGATTTAGATTTACACTCACCTCTTATACCCCTAACAGCATCCTATACTCACCACATGGCTTTACTATGATATTATTTGGATGATACAAGCTCGCCATTGAAAACATTATCCCTTCAGAAGAGATAACGACAAAGGGGGTGTGAAGACGATTGAAGTTATGCTGATGAAGTACTGAATTTTACTCATATACTTTATACTAATGTGATTGTTAGACTGACGACTATATGTGGATTGAGGATACGATTGATACAAGGAAATGTGGAGAATTCGGATTGAGGCTAAAGTTAGAGGTCTAATTTGGGAGGGTTTAATAAACTTTTAATTTTATTTCTATAATTATTACTATATGTACTTAATTGTGATTTGAACGAAATATTGTATTATCTATGAACTTAGTAGATATATTTTTTGTAGCATGTTACTACTTATATGATAATAGAAGAGAGAGAAGGTGAAAGTGAGAATTTTATTTTGTTATAATAGATTAGTAAAAATAAAGATAATTAATATAAACAGGAATAACATGACACGCTTAACATAAAAGTAACGAACAAACTTGGAATTTTATCTTTTGGGTAAAGTTTTTTATATAATAAGTATATTATAACCTCCCTAATATTAAAACTATATTCTAAATTTGCACATAAAACTACCAGTAGTTATTAAATGTCATTCATTATCTTAAACTATAAAGTAAATAGAACTATGTCTTTAAGATTAAAAAATTGTATCTTTTGGGTATTTCATGATTTGCCATTGTTCACAAAATAACCCTGAATTTTTTTACAAACAAACATGGATCTTCATAATTTTCACAAAGACCATTGAAATTTCATATATTTATAGAAAAGTACTAAAACTTATTAATTTTTTACAGAAAAACCCCTATATAGTTCAAAACTTAAATCTTAAGAAGATTTAAAGAAGTATATGATCTAAATTGTAAGAAAATTACAAATAAGTCCTCAAATGTTGTTATAATTATATTCAAAATAAAACTCTTCCATTAATTAAATTAATTAAATAATGAATTATGTAAAGTATTAGAACATAAAACAAAATATGTCCACGTACAACGCACGTGCACTATACTAGTACTATTATAAAAGTGTGTTGGTATGTTAAAACATTTATTCTAAAAATGCCCTCCAAACCACATACATGTATCCATAAAACACATAGTTGCATACATATAAACACATACATATACATGCATACATTCTTAATAATGACATAACTCTCCTATTAATTGTCCAATAATATTAACTTTTATTTTTTGTAACCCCTCCACTAATCCAATATTAATGTTATCATAAAAATTTGCATACATATAAACACATACATATACATGCATACATAAAAAATATTTCAGTTAGGAATAATAATACTATTTAAATTGTGTATTCAAACAATATCAGCTGTAAGAATATAAGGCTAATCGTATTGAAGTACAATAATTTAATATGTAAGCTATTTACATTTTTTTGGTCAATGAAAACTTTTATTCATTACCAAATGTGAAGTTTGAGTACATATCAAGATACTTAGATTTTGAACCTGAGATACAAAGGATTACATGAAAATAAAAACCAAATCCCTCAGCCTACCGGGAACAGCCTCTAATAGAAGAAGAAGGACTGTTAATTTGGATGGTAGCAATATCAATTTTTATGGCTTTAATCAGCTGCACAGTGTCCTTTTTCTGCTGTGTAAAGATCCTTGCATTTCTCTCCCTCCAAATGTGATATATAGTAGCCGTCAAAGCTAATTTCTTCATCTTTTGCTTGTGGCCTTTACCTCCCAACCTGTTGAACCAATTCATCAACTGAGCTTAATTGTTTGATTTCCATTTGAAATCAGTCCAGTCCATAATGTGATTCCAAATGCAACAGGAGAAAGTGCATTCAAAAAATAAACGATCCCTAGACTCCAGCACATTACCCTCACATAAGCAGCAACAATTATCATTTATGATCCCTCTTTTTTAAAGTCTATCTTGAGTTAGTAGCCTATCCTGTGTAGCCAACCAACTGATGAATGAGTGTTTAGGGAAATTTAAACTGCCCCATATAGTTTTGTACCATGGAACCGTATCATACACAGGGCAGATACCAGCATACAAAGCTGAAAGTTTAAGCTTTAATCCCTTGTAACATGATTTGATGAGATTTTGTAACCTGTCTAAACCTCCAAAATCTGTCAGAGCCTTATCTCTTGCTTGAATCAATTTTTTCCACATCCAAGAGTCTCCAGACCTTGCTTCTACTTGCCATATATCAGTATTTTTGAGATAGTTTTTATGTATCCATTTAATCCATAATGATTCTTTATTTGTATGGATGAACCATATATTTCTCAACGCAGTTGCACAATTCCAGATATGTGCTGAAAAAATACCCAAGCCTCCTTGTTCCATCCTCATGCACACTGTCTTCCATGAAACCAGAGAATTCTTTGAAGAGTCCCACAGGAATCTCCTAAACATTTCATCAATTTTTTGCAGCACACTAACAGGAAGAATGTAACTTGAAGTCCAATAGATTTGTACCCAAGTAACACACGCTTAATGACCTGTAACCTTCCAATATAAGATAGATTCTTATGCTTAGTCCATTTTTGTAACTGCCTAGTAATTTTATCAAACAGGGGGTTGCAATCTATATGAGATAGCCTTTTGGATATTAGAGGAACTCCAAGATACTTTATTGGGAAAGCCCCCTCAGTGAACCCCAGAGAATCAGATATGGTTGCTTTGACAGATCCCTCAACACCCCCATAAAAGATTAAGCATTTATCTGGATTAGCCTCCAAACCATATACCATATCAAAAGATCTGGCACATTGGTATATTTTGTTCAATGAGTATGAATCTTCCTTAGCAAATAGAAGCAAATCATCCGCAAAGATAAGATGGGTGA